ACCAACTTGTTTGCCAACGACAAATCATTACATCAGTCAAAGGATAACAAATGTAAGAGACAATTTCTCAAAACGGTGACAATCAATTTCCACATTGACGTGTTATCAGTCTATTTATGTGAATAGAAGTGACTCATTTTAAATAATCTGTATAAACAGACTAATCCTTTTTTGAACAACGTATTTAGACTGTTTTGGGTGATTTTGTATTTTTGTGTAACCTTGAGTGTGTTTTTATTATAAGCCATTTACAGATTCTGCCACATCCACATGTGATTTTACAGCTTACATCTTGTTTTGTGTTTTTTAAGTGAATAAAAAATAATGACCAAGACTCCATCAAGCTCCTTCAGTTGACTTTATGTGGAGAGGGAAAAAAAAAAAGACATAAAGAAAGTGAAAGTCTCTCATGTTAATGTGAAGGAATGAAGCCGCAGTGAGAATGGTCAAACTAATGACAGGCTCGGCGGAGAGAAACAGTGTGAGGGATTCAATTAACTTTAAGGAGAGACACTAATGAGTCTGTGGTGGCTGTGAAAAACACTCTCGTAGGCTGGCTCCTTCTCATTAATTGTTTAAACCGGTCTCGCACATTTAACACTTTGTAGAGCTGCGTTCTAGTCAGTCAAATCCTGCAGACAAAGCAGAAGACGCAGGAGCTGGAGAGCCTGAAACAGTGTTTGAGTGCTCGTCAACCTGAATGAGATGAGAGACCTTTAAACAGACTCCGTGTCATTAAACAACCACATTCTGTTTTTGCGGTGTTTGCCATCATTTCAGCTCTGCCAGATCATGTCAAGGCTGCTCTGTGGCTAGTTGTCTTGGGTCTTAAAACGGAAGCACGGAGTCTGAAGGCAGCTTATCAAAAAGACGAAGAAATCAAGGGGTTTGAGAATAGAACAGAGAAAGCAGCTGGAACGCTGACAACGTTTTTGCAGCCTCACTTTGTTTGTCTGCGTTCATACGCCAGTGCAATTGTCACTTCCTTTTCGAGCAGACTTTTGTGTTGTTGACTTTGGTGAAAGTTTAGTAATAAGACGCAGAGGTGTCACAAGGATCTTGTTTTGTTCCCAAAAAGAGCGTTCTTTGCATCACGTAAATGATCAGCACAAGCAGTCAAACAACGAAAACACATTCAGTGATGGCAGTGAAAGACAATTATCACATAGCTGTCTTAGGGTGCAATCACACCTGAGCTGCTTGTACTGCTTGAAACAAACTCGGGTGCACTTCGTCGGATAATTAGTTTGGTTTGGGGTGCGTGAACTTTGGAAATGGGCTTGTCGGTTTGCTTCCAAGTGCACCAGAATTGGGTTCACCATAGGTGAGAACCAGTCCGAAACCAAAAAAGGTAAGTGAACCAAAAAGCAGTTCATTGTGGGTTGAAATTGGACAGATATCTCAGAATAAACAGCAAACGTCAAATAGGTTTGCCTCGCGTGGCTAACATTGGCGTTGGTAACAAAACCAGCCTTCAGTCCTCCTTGCAAGTTAACGTCCACATGCCTGTGCTAAATGTGTTTACATATCACTCACTCAGTTTAACCTGACACAGTCAACATAGAGCTCTATGTCCATTTTATAGTAGGGTGACTGTTTAGCACTAAGGTGTGCCATTCTTCCACTGTCCTGTTTACTTTCGGGTCATAGTTAAGCATTAAGCCGGATGGCAGTAACCACTGATCAGAGCTACAGCCCCTACTAGTGGCGGGTGGCTACAGTACACCACATTTGACAGGCTTTGGTCCCCCTGACAAAGTGCAGCGTGAAAGCAAGACAAATGAAAAATGCAAAAATGTTGCAACTTCACTACCGAATTGCACCAGGAAACTCTGTATGTGAAATACTTGCTTCTGATTGGTCTAATACAGCATGTCCTTGCAATTAAAAACAAACCCTTGCCATGGATGGAGCTCTGATCAAAGTATATGCACGACTAACTGTAATCATATTAAACCGAAGAAAGAAGTCAGCAAGAGGTTCTAAAAAAAACTTTGGACTACAACTGAAAAAAATGACAAAATTGAAGATTTCAAATTGAAATGAAAAATATCAACAGACTGACAGTGAAGAGGCAGAAAAGCGCAATCAGTTGCTGCTGTGTTAAATGCTGTCCAGTTTACAATGTCTCACAGTCTCTAATCATCACAAACAAATGTCAAAAAAAGACTTGTATCATTAAGAACCTTTAGGCTCCTATATCTATCAAGGGAGATCTGAATAGAGAAGATTGGCCTACAACTATATCCAACTCCTCTTCTAAAAGCTCGTGCAATAACCAGTAACTCTTACAAAGCTTGAAGTATTACGTTCCTATACTAGGTTTGATTACCCCTAAAAGCGCTTGACTTGATCATTCAGTGTGTCGGGGGGGGGGGGGAGATGTTTAAGGTCAGGCATGCATTTTAGTGACTGAGAGGATTACTTGCATCATGAGCCTATGGAGGATTTTCACTTTGATTGCCTCATTCAAGTGGATGTAAGCCAGGATGCAGTGATCCATCAGCGTCTGTAGAGAATTTACCTTGGCGGATACAGCACATACATGGATGCTACGCTGACTTCTCTTTAATAAAGCCCTTCAGCGGCACTCGTTTGTGATTTTTCTATAAGCTGTTGCGCAGTATGCAGCGGGCTGAGAGGATTCCTCACACGCTCCAGGCAACGGTTGATACAAATCATGAATTTGAGGAGACAACATAAAAGCCAGGAAGCGGCATCCTCATTTATGGACACACTGATTTCCCACCGCGGTTGTGGGAAGCTTTCTGTCAATGAGAAAATACACCCCCACCCCACACACACACACACTTTCTCTTTCTCTCTCTTTTCTTCTCTCCTGTGAGATAGAGATCTCTCCAATCTGATTAAAACGCTTTTGGATTTAGCTCATGAGCCTATAGAAAACTAGCTTTGACTTTTCAATACAAATCCAGCCTGCATGTGAGTGAGACCTTATGTGTTAAGTCTGGCACCTGTCAGAGTGTCTGCAGAAGCAGCAGCTTGGATAAATTAAACATGTTGCGCTTCATTCGAGCGACTGGGTTTGCAATGATCCCCTCATGACTTTTTATTTCTACCTGCTGAGAATGAAAACACAGCAGGCCAAAATGAAGGAAAAAAAGCCAGAACAAAGAAAATGTGATTATTTCGCAATGTCTATGCAAAGTTCTACCATCTAGGGAAGAGTCAAATATAATTCCACTCTAAAGAATCAATGAATGAATTGCAGATTAAATGCACTGCCTTGACAGTTGCAGATGTTATCATGTTTTCCTCTCCCGCAGGTACGTTTTTTTTTTGTTTTTTTTGCCTCTTATGATTTGTTCTCCGAAGGGAAACAGCTTCATACATTTATTTGTTTGTCCATCATTTCAGTCATCCAAAATCCGACAGGAAATTAAGCTGTTTGCATTCACAAACATCAATGCATATAAAGGCAAATGCTTTAAAATGAAAAAAAGAGAGAGAGATGTAATCGTATTGTGTGCCATTTGCATTGTCTCTGTGTGACAGATGAGACGAGAGTGAAACACATTTGGACGGATAATTGCTTTGGTCAATAACGACGGGTTTCCTGTTTTACATTCCATTATGGGGGAGCCGGGCTGTGGGCCGTTTCATCGAGAAGAGATAAATAAAAGGACCGGGGGAGCCAGGAGAGACCCATATCCCAGGTAAATGAGCGCTTTATGAGGAAGATTAGTGCAAATCCCTCACACACAGAGCACAGACACATGTGGGTCGAGGGAGGCTTTCAGATGCGGGGCTTTGCTATACCTCCATCTCGCACATTCCCCCGGCAATCGATCAAAGCCCAAAATCACAGCTGCACACACACACACACACACACACACACAGAGGAAGGAGTAAATGTGTTAGTGTGACAGCCTGAATTGAAGGCTATTGCATTGACGAATGGCAGTCTCATCTGACATACAGCCTCCCAATCAGACACCAGGGATTCAAATATGCATGTACGGCGGATGCATGCATGCATACAGACAAAGTCTCTCTCTCAAAGGCAAACAATTACCCACAAAGCTGTGCGTGGAGCACATATATAGAAGGGAAGTGGGGAATCTGTGGAATACTTCTCTGACTGCATAAACAAGCTCTGGATTCTATCTCCAGTCCAGTGTGAGCTGCCCATTAAACTCTATTAACCTGCAGAACTAATATCTGCAGGGAGAACCCGGTGAGACAAACACACACCTGCTCCATTTAGAGAAATGCATTTTTTCATTTTCTAACAATGAACATATATAGAGCTCCTCCCTAAGCAGCAGTCAGCACTCCCTATCACATCCACACACACGTTTGCGTTTTTAAAAAAAAAACAACACAATCATCAACAGAAAACACAGATGGCAAATGCTCATAACTCATACTAAAGAGTCGTATGAAAAGGGAGGAGACCTGGAGAGAGCAATAGAAGTGGGTGCAGGTGATGGAGAGTCTAGGGGGATGATGAAGAGGGAGGAGAGAAGGAGGAGCAGAATAGTTCCACAGTCTCACTCGAGTCCTGCGTGTCTGTTGTATGCGTCAGTGGTTCCTGTGCTGCTGAAGTAGCAGTGGAATACAACAGTAAAGACAACCTGCACATAGGGAGAACACTACTCATTAATGGAGCCTCATGTCACGTCTGTGTGCCAAACACCATCTGTATTCCCTCACTAAGACACACACACACACACACAAGTGCATGCATACTCATTGTATTCCCTTCAAGGCAAACAAATCTACAAGAGCATCTAGAATTCATTTATCTTGAACTCACAATACAATCAAAAACAACCTGAAATGTCAAACAATTCAACTCCTATCAGCAGCCTGTCCCAAGAGCCATCAGCCGATTAGTGCAATACCAAAACAACAGAAACAAGCACCAACAGTGGAACCCACTCCACACGAGTGCAGAAGCACACAGGGACACAGAGTGAAGTGGAGCCAAAATAAGTGTTGAGCAGTGAGTAGGTGGGATACTGGTTGGTACGCACCGTTGGGGCTCTCCTCATCGATGGTCACGATGGTTGCAGGGGGGCCTGGCCGAGACAGCTTACACTCTGTAATCAAGAAAAGAACAATATACTTTGTGTGATTGTGATTAATAGCAGCTTATGGACATCAAGGAACATTGTTTAAGAAAAGTGTAGTGTTTCACTTCATCCTACACCCTTTTCAAACATGGACTAGTTATCCTCATATTGTCTGTATATTTTATTTGCTATTTCTAAAATAATAGAAAAAAAAAAGACAGATGAAATGAAATTTTTTTAAAGACTATTTGATCCTTTAGGGGGGCAAACAATCAACATTCTATACAGATAAAAAAAAAACTCACTCACTAACAAAAACCGTCACTCTACTTACACTCACTAATACTAAGATTTATTTTTTAGGAAAAAACGCTTGATTTGAAACAACTAGATAGAGGCAAACATTAAATTGGTTTAAGGAAGAATGCGCAACATTTTACAAATAAATTAAGCAGAAATCAAGTGTTTCTCTCTGGGTCATCACTGTCTTCAATAAGTGAGAAGGGTAAGTCTCACCAGCTGTACTGTACAGACACGTGTTTAGATCATGTTTACATAGACGGGACGGCCTTGCGAATAAAGCTGTTTTAGTCTAGACTAGTGGAAAGAAGAATATGCTTTTTTGGATGTTACATAAGTGTCTTTAGATCACAGTCAATCCGTGCCAATTTATGTGCAATAAGAAGCTACGAGTGAGCTACCATTAGCCTGCAATGGACAATTCTGAGCGCTGCTTGTGCTTAATGGTGCTTAATTATGGTGCATTCTAATTGATAACTCCTTAGTGTGAACGCGAGTGCAGGAGGGTTGGAGGTGTGTCGCTTCAGGAGAGCGGATGTGTCGCCAAACAGTAGTTTGCTTTGGTTTAATGCTGGTGCTCAAGGGCGCATTATACTGGATCAAAAAGTCGCACATTCTAGAACTAGATCAATCTAGAACAGCTCCAGCTGCAACATGCTACTAACAGAAAACACTTCTTAATACCAGTGTGCTGTTGGAAGCACATTTCATGATGAAAAAGTCAAATGTATTGGTCACAAAGGTCTGGCTCTGCACAATGAGTAGTTTTACTTTCAGATAATGTTAATTCTATGCTTATATTATAATAAAGTTACAACATACTTACAATTTGATTGAAACATTGCAAAAAGTTTGGTCCTAACATAGCCAACAGCAATGTGAGGACAAAACACCTGGCATACAGTCACTGACTTTGTAAATATGTCATTGGTCAGAGGAAATAAAACTCAAACTGTTCAGGGGCTTCACTGTCATGTTGATTCACCTTTTTTGTTTATACAACAGGTGGCATCAGTGACTGCTACCGCACAAACATCAACAGGAACCGACACTACGGCACTGACACCAGACAAGCAGGGTGGTCAAAGCATGTGGCAACATCATAAGCAGAGCAGTGACAAGAAGCAGCTTCACAGATGGAGGTCAAAGCAGCTGGATGGTATACGAGCACACGGGACACAGGTAATGGCAGCCTGACAGACAGCAGCAGATGGGACAGCCGGGGAGGTGGAGAGGGAGAGAAGACAGCGAGGAAGAGGAGGTGTGGAGAACGAGACAGCGAGGAAACACGCTCTGCAGCTGATGTGAGGAAAGTTCAGGATTAAATGACTTTCAGCAAGGAAGACGAAGAAAGAGAGCGGAACAGAAGCAGGGGGAATAGTGTATAGTTATGTAATTTTTTTTTTTTTAAAGGAAAAAAAGACAAAGAATTTTTGCCCTCTTACCCTCATACTGCCAGTCTGAAGGGGTCAAAAGTTAGTGGAGCCAGAAGGGAGCGGAGTAGAAGCATGGAAGAAAAGAAAGCATGAAACAGTCGGTTGAAAAACAGCTCTGATGTTAGGAAAGGAGAAAGAAGATCATTATTAAATAAAAGAACAGATATTAGAAAACATAGGGGGAACGAGAGTCAGGATACACTTCACTAGAGAACTGGTGGATGTTAGGGAACCACACAGTTTGAACAAAGACAGCCGGCAGATCTGTTCTTGCTTCCAGTAGCTACCAGCTGAAATTATTTATCTGGAGAGTCAGTGGGATGCATTTCAAACATGAATCACTATAAGAAAAAAACACTTTTTCTCACTATATTAAGTGCCACCATGTGTTCTAGAAAATGGAAAGCCTAATCAAAGAGCACAGGAACTCATGTGGAAATCATTCAGCATCTTGTCCTATCTCTCTTTCTCTGCCTCCACCTTCTCAGATATTGAATCCCACACAGCTTGGTGTCAGGTGGTGTCTGCTTACATTACAGGTAATTAGAGATGGACTGAAAAAGAAGACACAAGAGTCAGCGACACCACGTCAACAGGCAGCACTATAGAGTTACACATCCACCTTCTGCTGCCCGGCTTTAGTTGCGTTACTATGCACCTGTTGCCAGCTCCCCAACAGTGGATACTCTTCTTATCAAATATGCATGGTCCTGCATGGGCCTTACTAATGTGGTCTTAAAGAGCGTATTAATCAGAGGTAAAAACATTACAGTGTGATGTCTGCATATTTAATCATGACTGTTTCTAAAGTACAGATACACAAGATTATTAGCAAATAAACAGTAATAAAACCTGAAGCTAAAATATGGAAAATTCATGGAAATCATTGATTGCATTATCGCCTATCATTATTGCCTTGGTAACCTTTTTTCATGTAGTGTCTTTATCTGGACATTTCAAGCAGTTTATGTCGAGCCAAGGTTGACATTCAAGCATCTGTGTGGAAAAATGGGCATAGCCAACCTTCCTTTTTGCTCTTTAATCCTTGAGGACTAATTATATACGCCTATTGCACCGCTAATTCCTGTAAGGTGTACTCGCTGTTCATTCTATTTTTTTTTCTCTCTATAGCAATTAGACATCCTGTACCCATCTGCTACAAGGAAAATAGAAAAGGATAAGATTTTCCTCCAAAAGCAACAAAACGAGCAGAGCAAGTGGGTCACACTTCACAACTGGAGACATAAACAACTTGAAAAAAAAAACGTCAAAATAAGTATGAAAACCGGCTCAGAGAGAAAATCTTCTGTGTGAAGTACGGGGGGGGGGGGGGGTGTGTGTGTGTGTGCACATGTGTGCAAGTCAGAGCGTGTTGAACTAAAGTTACTTGCACTCATTTTAGATGCTTTTTTAAGGGATCACAGGCAGTCTGCTTTGTTAGTTTTGCATATGCTTGTTCAAGTGGGTGCACATGTTTGTGCGTGTGTGTGTGTGTGTGTGTGTGTGTGTGTGTGTGTGTGTGTGTGTGTGTGTGTGTGATGTGTGTGGATGTGTGTGTGTGTGTGTGTGTGGGGAGCTTTAAGTTGTAGTTGTGGCAGTGGGAGGAAAATATGTGAAGTATTTGCTTTGAAGGCAGAATCAAGTAGAGATAAAGAATGACTCCTCCATTTATACCGCTCATGGTGCGACATTGGAATCAGGGCAATAACATATGTCGCACTGAGGTAGTTAGGCGCGCACATCCCCCCCCCCACACACACACACACACACACACACACAAACACACACAAACACACGTGATGAACACACTAAAGCACAGTCAAAGCAACAAATTCTACTAAATCATATTCACTATAAGACTGAAATAATCCTACCCTCTTGCCAAACTTTACACCTTTAAGCAGCAGGTGATTTGTTCTAATGATCTCCACAGAAAGCTTCACACCCATTAAAAGTCTTCTAGACACACCAGTCGACTTTAATACCCCACGGCCCCTGTGATTCATTTTTTTTTGTGCCAAACAGTCCTATAAATTTGCTCTGCTGCAGCACTCACGATAATAACTGCAGAGTGAAACCTGCAGAACCCAACATATATGTTCAGTAAACATACATAATTGGAAAAGTACTTATGGATTAATCCATTTATCTGGAAAAACCATGACTAATCCTGCAGAGCCACCTCCACGGTCAGAGAATTAGAAATGAATTGCTGCCGCAGAAGAGGCTGGTATCAAACAGCAGGAGAGCCAAGATTTCTATGTTATAGGATACAAACAGGAAGAAATTGGAGGCTCACTAAACCCAGCCTGTATATTTTCAACAAGTCAACCATCAGGCTTTTGTTACAGAACGCCGAGCTTGAGAATAGATGTGTGTGCCCATTACTTGCTTCACTTGTTGGTAAAAATGTTTGTTGTTTTTATAAGGAGGCTGGTAAGGCTTGAGCGATTCTGTTAGCAAAAGCTTTTGTATTTATAAAAGTAAATATAATCACAAAAATACTGGATTATCATGTAGCATTGGATGAAATAATTATTTCACTATTTGCATTTTACTATTTTACTATTAACTTAATTCATAGGTCTTTAACTTTAGGAGTAAGTGAAGGGAGTGTCATGTCAACATGGGAGCATATCCAAGTGAGGAGTTTTTATACAGTAACTGTGAAATAACTAACAGGAGCTGCCACAATGTACCAACTAGAAACTTGACAGTTAGGTGCATTGTAGATGTTTGCCAAGATGCTTCAGTCTTGTATATGAAAGCACCAAACACCATACAGGTAATTGTATCTAACCTTCTCATTACTGTCTCATACTGCAGTTTCAGAGACTTTTTGCCTGTTTCTGGACTTATCGGAAAGTTAGGTGGGGATGGTTTAGTTCCAATGACCGCCATTGTAGGGCTTCAAAACGCTTCTTCTGAAACCTACGGATGATGTCACTGGGACTATGTCCATGTCTTATACTGTCATGGCATACACACATTTGAAACCCCTTCTTGTCTTTATTTTTGCTTGGTGTGCCGTTATTTCAGTTTAAGTACAAACATATATTTGAGTTTCTCAATCTCACTGATAGGTAATAATGTTTGTATGAAGATTTAGAACCTAAATAATAAACTAGACATGTTAACTTAGGTTTATGGCTCTTTCATTGTCACATATTTAGTATATGCATGCTTGAGTGAGCCTTTCTATACTCGGGTAATGTGCCAATAATGAAAGGGTTAGATAAGATTACACACAAACAGGAAGGAGATAAAAGTAAAGCCTAACAATTTAGTCCAGTTAGTAAATCTTAATAAATAACTCATTGTTTGAAGTTCACACTTTGTATTACCATGGGAGGATGACTTCAAAGCCAATAATTTCATTAAACTTATTCTTATCTCACACCACAGGAGCATTGCAGACTAACTTTGGTTTGTTGGCATGTTGTGATGAGCTGGCGTCAGACCGAGAGGAGAGGGATTTCAAAAGCGGGGAGTCATAACAAACGGGAGAAGAGGAATTCAATCACAAAGGAGGTAATCAGGGCACTGTACACCTCACAGGCCTAATCCACAGACTATCAAAATCTTCTAATTTGAACATTTAGGTAATTTGCTCTCACTCAGAGGTCTTCTCACTAATCAACCCAACAATGCGATCATAAAGCTGTAAAACTTCAATTACAAAGTGATTACTGCTCTCTCATAGAGGAATCAAGTGAAAAGAATCAATGCGAGAAAGCTTCAATCAAATTGTAAGACGTTCTTTCCAGCAGAATTATGACCATTTTTTCTAAAGGATACAAATCAGGGCAGAACTTCATGGAATGAGTCACACAAGACATGCTTGCATAGCAAGGGAACTTTAAAATCATACACAACCTTAGATAAACTGTGTATGTTCTGCACTTCAAACCATGGGCGTGTCCAGCCTTTTCAGACTAGGGTGGCCCACCCTTATAGACACGCCCCTGCTTCAAATAGTCATGATGGCTAAATTCATCTTTCACAGTGGACTGAATTACTTCTGAGTCGACTGCAGAGTGTGTATCCATTTAAATGACAGAAATGCACGACCAATGTTTATGAGAGATTTTTCTTCCATAAACGGTCCTTTCATCATTTTTCTTTTCAAATCGCACCGTCTGAGATGCAGAAAAGCTCCTTAGCAATTCAAGTCTTTAGAAGGCAGCTCATCGACCGCTACATTATCAGAGCAACAAGGCAGAGGCCAGATGAATTCTGCTCACTGACATTTAGTTTCAAAAGGCATTTTTACCTGACACTTGATTCAATAGCCGGCGCTTTCCCATGGCTTCATCTGCAGCACCACCTTTTTAGCGACCGATAAATCAAACCGCTGCCCCCTTTGGACTTAAAAATAAAAAGGCTTTAAAGGACAATGCTCCCTAACAAGCACCGCGGCCCAGGAGGCTGCACTGTCTCAATTAATCCCGCACACCTTTACAACAATCTCACAAAAGGATGTGAGGGATCTAATCTGGATAGCTCAGAAATGCAATAAATAAATGCAGGGAGACACCTTTGCCTTCTCACGATGTGGGCACCAACTCACAAAATGTCAAAAATGAGGGCAGAAGCAACGGAGAGGAAAGTCGGAAACTAAGTTTTCGGTCATCTCCATCTCTCTCTGACTGCGTCTTCCCTCTAACCCACTTTTTCAGCCTGTGCAGGCAGATTGTGGTCCACCAAAAAGTCTGTTTCTGCACAAGGTTTCTGCCTGTTAAAGGGAAGTTTTTTTTTCTTAAAACTGTTGTCAGATGTCATCAAGTGCTTGCTGATTGGTGGATCAATGTTGTGTCTCTGTAAATAAATATAAAACAGAGTATGATTTGGACCTGATCTTTTTTTCAAGTGTCTTGGGATAACTTTCAGTATGATTTGGCGCTATGTAAAAAAAACAAACACTGACTGATGGATGTGCTGGTTCCAAGGATATATCATGCCAAAGGAAACTACCAGAGTGCAGTGCAATGGAAAATTGTTGTTCAATTCTCCATGTACACAGC